CGACTGAAAGTGATCAGAGAGGATGGGGAAGGAGGACAGTGGTGGAAAGAAGGGGAAGGGAGTAAACAAAGAACATGTATGAATGACCCGTGGACATGGACAACAGAGTGGGAACTGACTGTGGGAGAGCGGGGTGGGGTGAAGTGGATGGAGGAGGGCAAAGGGGAATAATTGAGACAACTGTAATAGAATAAACATGATTTAAAATTTTAAAAATTAAAAAATATTAAAAAATATTTTACCTCAGAAAAGGTGAACTTGCTTTCTCCTAGGTGTGGGTGCAGGATTTGGGGTGGGTGTGGGTGTGTCTCTGTTTGTGTGCACAGGTGTGTGTGTGAAGTCGGGTGAGTGAGCAGACAACCAGGCAGATGGTCAAGGGAGGTCATGGTTCTCTGTCCATGGGGCCGTGTGGGTAGGGAGACCCTGACCTGAGGCTTCAGGACAAGAAGCCTGGAAACATGACGTTGCTGTGAGACACTGTCACCTCCTTCTGTGACCCAGATCCTGGCATCCTGGGCTGCAGTGGGTGGGGGGACCATGAATGCACCCCATACAATGCCTTGAAAACATAGTGTTGACTAGGGTAAAAGTAGGGGACCCCTGGTTCCACCTCAGCCTGGTGCCAGTGCAGGAAACCCCTGCAGCTGGATTAGGATTCCTTTAAAGCACAGGCCGGCCCTAGGACAGCTGGGATGCCCCTCCCAAAGCCACGCCTTCCCTCCCTTCCCTCCGTGAGGCCTGGCCCCTGGCCAGGTGTCTGACAGGCTGCAAACAGATTGGCCGGTAGGAGCTTCACTAAGTCCTTAAGAAGAGTTAATGAGCAATGTATACATTTTAGCTGTAAATACAGCTTAATATGACAGGATTGGAGGTAAAAAAAAAAAAAGTTAATGGTGTGAGGTGGGTATGAAGTCACCCGTGGTCCCTGGACTCCCCCAGCTGGCCCAGCACCATGTGTTTAGACGTGTACAATCTGCCCACCGCACGGGGAGGTCTCTGTCATGATCACATCACTCTACACGTGCGGTCCGAGTCTGATCCTTCCTTCATTGGACAAGTTATCTCTGTTTTTCAGGTTCTCAAACTCCAATGTCTCCATATAAGTCTGAATGGCTGGTTTCCTTTCCCCCATATCTCAGGTAGGAGGAATTCTGATCACATTTGTGGGGGTGGGGTTGGTACCGATGGAGTATAAATGAGGAAAGTGAGAGCAACAGAGGAAGCAGGCGGCTCAAAGGTCCTTCAGCCATTCAGGATGATGTAATTGCAACAACTGATATTTGAAGTGTGTGTGTGTTTACTGCCTTCTAAGAAAAACATTCATGAATGTCATTCTTGTCTGAATACTGAAGAATCTCGAGAGTTGGAACAGGAGAGTGACACCCAATATCAAAGGTGCTCTGAAGAAGCAGGAATGACTCAAATTGTTTACCCCAAGGAGAGGGAGAGAAAAAGAGCCCACTTCGCAGAGAGACACAGAGTCGGTGGAAACGGTTTGAGACGCAGCCCCTGTGTTCCAGGGCCAGGAGGGAGCACTGAGCTCTCCTCCAGGAGCAGAGTGTTTGCTCAACCCTGGGCTCGTCCCTCCCCCTCCCCCATCTCACTATCATGAGGGCTCCTTGTGGCCTCCTGTCGACAAGGCAGGGAAGGAAGGTCACCCTTCACAGTGTCCACATCCACCACCTGCCTGGGTTCTGAGCTCTAAATCCTCACTCCCTTCTCCTGTCCACCCCCATATCAGTGTTTGCAAATCACATTTCAGAATCTGTCCATTTTCTGCTGAAATTCTTCCATGGTCCTCACTGTCTTCAGGGAAAATCCTGACATTTCTTGCTGAACTGACATCTGCTCATGGCCCAGCAGGTCGTAGGTAATCAGTAAATAATTGTTTATTGACTAGTCAAAGTTAAAAACTACATTTGACTTGTGGAGGGCTGAGAAAAGTAAATGCTTGTCCTCTTTAGAACAAGCCACCCCTTGCTGTGGGTGCACAGAGCGCTGAGAATCAGGAGGGTGGCGGGAGCCCGACTCACCACATCCTGCGAGTCTCTGTCCTTCAGGCCCAGGGTCTGGTCCACCCGCAGAGCAGGAGCACTCAGACTGGACGGCACAGTGTCCATCCTCCCTGCTCTGCTCTGCCTCGGTCAGCTGTGGAGACATGGGGACGGGGCACCAGCGGGGAATGAGGCAGCTGCACATACTTGTCCATGGGGAACCTCAGGGCTCAGGCAGCTGGAGTGACTTAGGCCCTAAGAAACCGGAATCAGCTCAAAAGGCTGGGTGCAAATCTGAGACGGACTCTCTTCCAGGGCTGAGCCTTGGCCAGAAAACCCATGTGCAGAATGGTGAGTCTTCCCCAGGCCCCCTGTCCCATCTCCTACTTCACCCCTGGGGCTCCAGAGGGGGCAAGAGGTCCTGGGATGAGGGGATAAAAGAGGGGGGACGTGGGCTGAGCTAGGGGTTGAGGGGTGGGAAAGGTCTTGGTAATGTGGCCTCTGATTCCTTCCAGGGACTCTCCTCAGATCCACCCTCCCGGCTGAGCCAGGCTCTGTGATCCCCTGGGGGAGCGCTGTGACCATCTGGTGTCAGGGGGCCCTGCAGGCTCAGGAGTTTTGTCTCTATACTGAAGAAACAGACACACCCTTGGACAGATAAAACCGGTAGATCCTGGGGACAGGGTCAAGTTCTTCGTGGAAGACGTCTCTGCCGGGAGATTTTATTGGAAATCCCTCAGCCCCCCCTGGCTGGTCAGAGCACAGTGACCCCCTGGAGCTCCTGGTATCAGGTGAGGAGCCCTGGACCCCATTATTTCAGAGCACAGTCAGCTCAGGGTCCTGTCCCCAGAGACATCAGAAGTTGGGGGAGGCTGAGGGTCCCTGAGTGATGGTTGCGCAGCACAGATCTGCCCCCAGAGACCCTCGCGTCCTGCCACCTTCCCCCTCACCTGGGATCAGAAAGTGGTAGGAGGGCCAGAGGCATGTCTTGAAGGGGCCACAGAGCAAATGCAGGAGAAGAGTCTGGGTGATCTGCTGACCCCAGGGTTAGTCCCAGACCCTCTTCCTTTCCTGTCCTCATTCTCAGGACCCTCTGGAGGTCTCAGGCTCCAACACACATGGACCATCCTCACAGCTGGTGGGTCTCTGAGAACCCTGCTCAGAGGGAGCCCAGAGCCACCCAGGGAAGTTCTGAGGGTCCATCTGGGGGTCTCATGTCCCCCAGACACTCAGGGATGGGCATGTGTCCCAGGAGCTGGGAGTCAGGCAGAGATGCTGGGGACCACAGGGCCCCCGGGGCTCTGAGGTGGTCAGGTGATGGGGGGATTGTCATGTTAGAAGGACATGGTGGATCCCAGACTGGGGGAGGAGCCAGGTTCATGTTGGGAGAAGACAGACCCAATGCCTTACTTCCACCCTGACTCTCCAGGAGACTCTGAGGACTGGCCCCACCCTCCCTCCATGGAGTCAGGTCTTCGACGCTGTGAGTGAGGGTCTCTTCGGGGAGATGGTGGGCGTGTCCATGGGGAACATGGGCTGAGTCATGCAGGGGATTCAGGCTCCTCTGGAGGCTCTGACTTGGACACGCCCTCCCCCTCTCTGTGCCTCAGTGTCTCTGAGTGTCAAAGGAGAGAATCGTGGCCCAGAGCTTAGATATCCTTTTATTCTGGCTCCTGAGAGGGAGGCCTCATAGGGAAACCCCCAGGACGTGGTGTTATGGGGACTGTCCTCTCTGTGGAAGTGATAGTGACACTGTACACAGAGGGACCAAGAGGACAATGTTCAGGGTTTCAGGTCCTTTCCTCAGCTCACGTGCTCAGCTCAGAGGAGGGAACCAGGGCTGGAGTCAGACCGGGGTCCGGTCCCGGCTCTGCTGCTCCCGCTGTGGAACCGGGTGGTCCCTTCTCTTCTCTGAGTGTCGGGTTCATGTCTGTTCATTGCTGGTCCCCTCCTGCTCACAGGCCTGCGGTGACATAAGGGGACTCACCGATCTGGGGAAGGCAGAACCCCAGCCTAGCCTCACCCCTCTTTCTCTAGGAGGGCTCACTGACAAACAGTACCTCTTGGTCCATCTGGAACCACGGTATCCTCAAGAAAGCAGGTGACCCTGCTGCATCAGTCACAGAGCCCAAGGAGCACTTTCCATTGTCCACACAAGGTGTGAACCCATTCTGCCTTCCCCCAGTTCTTCATGAGTCCCTTGACCTCAGCCCATAGCAGAGCCTACAGGTGCTGCAGCTCACACAGCACCTCCCCGCTGCTCTGGGCTCCCCTGGAGCTCCTGATCTCAGGTGAGGGGACATGAACCCTCTCTCTTCTGAGCTCACTCTCCTCAGGCTTCTGTCACTCTACAGAGTCTGAAACAGTAATGAACGGGGGAGTTTAGGAGGCTCCACAGAGGGGGATATTCAGGAGCCCCTCACACCAACCCTGAATGCATGGACCCTGGTTAGTCCGCTGTTGGGTTAGTTGGATCTCTCAGCTATATGGGGAATAAGTTTATGGGGTCTATCTCTCAGACAGAACTGAATACATGGCACTCAATTATCTCTGTATTGTGGCCATTTATTACTAATCCTCAGTTCTGGGGCAGAGTTAACTCTGGCATCCGTGCAGGCTCAGAGAGCACAAGAGGCTGAGATAATCCAAGGAGGAGACAGGGAACCTGGCAGAGTAGAGACAGGGCTCATGAAGAGATTGCAAATGAGTTGTGATCTGAGAAGTGGGGGCATCAGAGAGCACAGAACCCAGGACGAGGCTCATATCACCCCAAGTCTTTACTCACACCTTCATTTCATGATCCTCAGGAGCCACCAAACACAATCAGCCCGTCACGAAACAAGTCAGACCCCAGGAGTGGGGAGTAGGAGAAACTCTCACCTATGGTGCTGGGTGCAGAGGGTCATGTTCTGCCAGAGGAAAGCAGGTGTCCTGGTGGACTTCCTGGATCCTGGGGTGACTTTGGTCTTCTCTGACCTCTGTGACCTTATCCCCCACAATTCCTAGCCTCCAGCCCCCAGGACCACACAATGGAGAATCTCATCCTGTTGAGTTGGGCTGGACTGATGCTCATAGGGTTTGAGGCCCTGCTGTTTCAGGCTTTAGACAGTGACGGAAGGACCCAGGATGAAACTGAGATGTGAACACAGAGGGAACAGAGCACCGTCCAGACTGGGGGAGCCGTGGAGCCCATGGGATGACCCAGGAGGTGGTGAAGGACAGCCTGGACCCCAGGTAGAGAAGGCTCTGCTGATTTGTCCAGGGGACTGAACAAGGTGTGGGTGAGGGAGTGTCTGAGTGCTCCCTGTGCAGGACTCTTCCTCCATTAAATCTGTGTTTTCTCTCCCTCTACCCTTGGCTCCCTGTAATGACCCCCGTTCTTTTTTCACCCCTAAGTCATGAGGGTCCTTCCCACATGGCTGTTTGTGTCCCCATATCTACAACCTGATATTCTCTTCCACTTTTATGTAATAAAATGTTCTTTGTTTCTAATAACTCCCTGACCAGATGGATGTTATTGACAGATATCTCAAAGGTTCACAGGATTAAACAATAAAGGGACAAAATTAGATATGACCCTGGAAAGATGAATAGAAACTGGTGCCTATCACCCTCTATGGACCCCACAATCCTTCCCGTCTTCACCAGATGCCAGCTGTACCATTTCCCCAGGACAGTCATCACCCAGTACTTGAAGGGACAGCCTAGCGGGGAGCCACCTTTAAAAGTTATGATGTTTAACAAGCGCATGATCTGTGGAATTTCTCCAGAGTTTGATTGTATATAAAATAGAATATTGTTCAACCACAAGAAAGAAGGACAAAATAAGAACAGAAGCCTGGACCCATGGAGCAGATGGACAGTTGTCAGAGGGGAGGGAGGAGGGGGTCTGGATGAGGGTCAGTGAAGGGATCAGCCAAAGGGCAGACATGCATGACCCACAGACACAGACAATAGTGTGATAAGACCGGAGGGAGGGTGCAGGTGCTGGTGGAGGTGGGCAAAGGGGGTGGGGGAGTGGACACAGCTGAAAAGTGTCAACAGTAAAAATAAAGGAAAAAATCCTGCCATTTGAGACAACATGATTGCACCTGGAGGGCATTTATTTACTTAACTCTGGCAGATCACACAGAGAAAGAGCAATGTTGAATGACCTCATGTATACGTAGACTCTAGAAAATCCAAATGTGTAGAAACAGATGGCAGAATGATGGTTACCATGGGGAGAGCGGGAAAAGGAGGGATGTGGGTCAAAGTGCAGCAACTTTCAGTTACGAGATTACCACTTCCTGGGGGTCTAACAGACAGCGTGGTGATTACACTTAACAAGACTGTGTTATATCCTGGAAAGGGGCTATGAGAGTGAATCTAAACTGTTCTCACCACAAAAATGTGACTGTTTTGTGACTTCTTCATACTATTGTTTGCTAAAGCTGAAGTGGTGTCATATTGCAATATATAAATGTGTCAAATCAACCCACTGCACATCTTACACTTACACATTATATGTCAGTTATAAACCAATAAACCTGGAAATAATGTCACAAATTTGGGGGCCGTTTTTTACTTTATTTTTTTATTATCATGATTCTATTACAGCTTTCCCACCATTTCCCCTTTGCCCCCTTCCGCCCAGCTATGCCCCCGCTCCCACACTCTGATGTAGGAAACACTTACCTACAGCAGGGAAATGCGCTGAACTCCAACAACTGCAAGTGTCGGAGAGTTTGTGATTCTATCTACATATGAATCTCTTCATTTACTATCTTTGTGTCCATGTATCTGCGTGTCAGCTTCTCCCATTATCTCTCTATCCTTCTATCTCTCTGTTTATCTATTTATGTACCTATGTATCTATTCACTTATCTATCTCCATTTGTCTATTATCTCTCTGGAATCCAGTTCCAAAACAATAAAAATGATTCAGTTGTCTGGAGCTACACAGTTAGTGGTAATTTGTGTTAACAACGTTACCAAACTCCCTTTCCTTCCCTTCTCTTTTCTTTTCATTTCTCTCTTTCTCCCTCTCTCCTCACCTCTCCATACTGAAAGAAGGAACTGAGTTTTCACTCACACACAACAAAGGATTTCAGCAAAAACAAAACATTGCAAGTTTTCCTCTCTCCTAGAAATGCAGAATCAAACTGTCCAGTAAACTGCTTTCTCTTTCTCAGGAGAGTACAAAATATGCAAGTGGTACTAGACACAATGAACATTAGATGGGAGACAAATTTCATATTTCTCCTGAAAATAGTTTTGTATTATTGTCTTCTACATTGGCTTTATCAGGGAATATTGATTTTGTGAACTGAATAATTGTTATGACTTTCCAATAACAGCAATCTCAGTCAAAATCCTCCTATGATGGAAGAGATCAGGAAAACTAAATGTGACACCTTAGGCATGAAGGGTGTTTAAAGCTGTGGCTCAGGTCAGTCCCTCAGCACCTGCTTCTTTCAGTGTGAGAAGAAGCTGGTCTCCTTCCTGTGTGACATTCACCTTGCACGATACAGACTGTGGTGTGGGGACCCTGCCCACCACATCCTGTCACTTTGCCTCTTGAACGTCACTTTAATAACCGAAAAACAAATCTTCAAAGCTCTGCTATAACAAGGTCCACTGAGACTTTTCCCCTTTTCCTAATGTGAGAACAGCACAAACCTGTTACTGCAAAGCGAATTCACAATAGCCATCACTCAATCCCCAAGTCAGGAGCTCGTCTACTGTCCAGGGGTCGTGGCAACTCAGACCGAGTCGAGCCTTGAACAGCCACCTGCACATATATCTACGAGGCTTTCCCCAAAACCGTAGGCCAGCTCCATCTCCCCTGATTCTCTCGTTATTTACATGTGAATCGCAAGAGCTGGTGAGAATTCAGCACTGGGTCCTGGACAGCTCCACCCTTCCTCCACAGCGCACTGATCTGCATCTCTTCCCTAACGTGTGTGTGTTTCAATATTTTCTTGTTATTCGATTACAGGCCTCCTAATTTTGCCCCTTTGCCCTCCTTTCTCCATTCCACTCCTCACTCCCATGGGAATATACCTAAGAATCCCTATTCACCAGTTCAAAGGAAATTATGCACTCCTATGTTCATAGCAGTGTTATTTACAATAGCCAACCGTGGCAGTAGCCCAAGTGCCCGTCAGTAAGTGAGTGGATAAAAAACAAACAAACTGTCGTACATTTACACAATGGAATTCTATTCAGCATAAAGAAAGAAGGAACTCCTACTTTCACCACAACATGGATGGAACTGGAGAATATTATGCTACTGAAATAAGCCAGTTGGTTAAAGATAAATACCATATGATCTCACCTATAAGACAATTCAAATGAGCAAAATAAACCAATGAAGAAAATAGAACCACAGTCACGGAAAGGAGGAATGGACGGACAGTGACCCGAGTGGAAGGGGCTGAGGGATAATGGTGGGAAAAAGTGGAAAGGACAGCACAAAGGACATGTATGAGTGACCCACAGACATGGACAACAGCATAGGGATTGACAAGGGCATGGGATGGGCAGGGGGGGGAAAGGGGGGAAATGTGGGACAAGTGTAATGGAATAACAATAACTAAAAGATTTTAAAAGAGCTTTGCAATAGAAAAAAAGATATTTTCTCCAGTTTTTCATAGAAAAGAACTGATTTATTCCTGAGTCTGCCATTCACCTAGCATAGATTTGGGTATGGGGTGAAGCAGGTGTGAGGCTCACCTTGCTCCACAGACTCCCCAGCTGGCCCTGCACCCGTATTGCAAGGACCAGGAGCTGCCCACTGCACTGCATGGGTCTCTGTCATGATGATGTGACCCTGCACTGCGGCCTGAGTCTGAGCTTTCCTTCTGCTCCATTGGACGAGGTATCTCTGCTTTTCAGTTTCTCAAACCTCCAACGTCTCCGTCTAAATCTGAATGGCTGGTTTCCTTTCCCTCATACCTCAGGCAGGGTAAATTCTGATCACACATGTGGGGTTGGGGTTGGTATCTCTGGGCTACAAGTAAGGAAGTGAGAGCAACACAGGAAGCAGGCTGCTCAAGGGTCCTTCAGCCTTTCAGGATGTGGTATTGCAACGACTGACATTTAAAGTGTGCGGTGTTTTTCTGTCTCTAACAGAACTCCTATGAATGTCAATTTTTTCCTGAATTACTAGGAGTCTCCAGAGTTCGAAGAAGAGAATGAAACCCAACATCAAAGGTGCTCTGAAGAAGCAGAAATCACTCAAGTCATTTACCCCAAGGAAATGGAGAGAAAAAGATCCCACTTCTCACAGAGACGCAGAGTCAGGTGGAAACACTGTGAGATGCAGCCACTATGTTCCAAGTGCAGGAGGAAGGGCTGAGTTCTCCGGCAGGAGCAGAGTGTTTCCACAGACCCCAGGCTCCTCCCTGACCCTTCCCCTTGGTCCACTGTTGTGAAGGTTCCTTGGGGTCTACGGTCAACAAGGCAGGGAGGGAAGCTCACCCTTCACGTCCCCAAGGCAGCGGTCACATCCACCGCCTGCCTGGCTTCTCAGTCCCACGTGCTCACTCTTGTGCAGTTCACCCTCCACATCACTCTTTCCAACTCTTTCAGAATTTGCCCATTCTGCTGAAAATCCTTCCATGCTCCTCATTGCGGTTTGGGTAAACTTAGACTCTTTCTTCTGAACTGACAGCTGTTCATGATCATCCACATGTGACCCTCCAACCTCAGCTTCCCCTTCTGCTTCCCTCAGCGAGACAGGTGCAGTTACCCTATGAACACAGTCATACACACACAATCACACTCACTGACACACACACTCACAGACTCACACACACAAACACACATATACACACTCATACTCACACATACTCTCATGCAATACACACTTTCACATATATGCGCTCATGCACACACATGCACATAGTCACACATGCTCATGCACGCAGACACTCCCACACGCTCACACACACGCTCACTTGCCCACACAGAAACACACACTCACACCGTCTCCTACTGACCATATCTGTTCTCCCTCCATATCGGTTTTCTTAGAGTTCTGTAGAACTAGCAAATTCCTTCCTATGTCTCCAGCTGAAAGCACAGGACTAGCAGTAACACTGAGGTTTCCTCTCCCCATTTTTATTCTCTACATGTGTTGTGTCAGCTGAAAAATATG